GCTCAGGTCATGATCCCAGGGTCTTGGGATCGAGCCCCGCATCAGGCTCCCTGCCCTGCGGGAAGCCTGCTTCTCCCTCTCCCACTCCCCCTGCTTGTGTTCCCTCTCTGGCTGTCTTTCTCTCTGTCAAATTAAATAAAACCTTTAAAAAAAAAAAAGAAATATCTTCAAGATATGCCACAAGTGAGAAAAGCAAGTCAGTAAGCAATGTGTAGAGCATGCTCATATTTGTCTAATTAGAAAAAGAATATAAATACATACGCAGGTACAGGCATAATTTTTTCCTGAGAGTATTAAAAAATAGTGTTAACAGTTATTACTCTGAGGACTAATTTAAAATCATTAATTTAAAATCATTATTGCAAAAACAATCCAATTGCTCTTAAAAATTTAAATACTGCAGAAGTTAATCAAAGTCCTTTCTGCACCCCTCCCCACCCCTTAATTCCACTCCCCAGAGGACAGGTAGCCACAGATGAGAGTTTGGGACCTCATTACTCAGAGTATGGTTTCCAGAACAGCAGCATCAGGATCATCTGGGAAGCTGCTAGAAAAGGGGATTCTTGTGCCTCACCCCAGACCTGCTCAAACTCCATAATGGGGCTGAGTAATCTGGGTTTTAAAAAGTTCTTTTGGTTATTTTGAAGCGTGCTCAAACCATTTCGTTTTAACAGGTTAAACCATATCTTTTGGGGGTGGTCGAGAAGAATCCCACTAGAGGAAACTAAGAACTCAAAACAACATGTCTCCATTCACCCAGAGAGCTCTAGCTCAAAGGTTGGCAGCCTCTTGAGTCCACTGTGATCTCTCTGTTGGGGTCGACTGAGGACCGTATTGTCACAGTTTGGAGGCATGATCCAGAAAAGGGGACACGCTAGCGTGAAAACGGAAAAGGGAGTGGAGGAGAAACTTAAAGGAGGAGGAATAGGGAAAAGAAAGATGGCAGAGCGAGAATGCAAATAAAACCACCATAGGACGGCAGTTAGATGACGTTGATACCTCACGGCCACTCATTCATCCATTTCATAAATTTTTTTCAGGAAAACTTTTCTTTTTATTTATTTTTTAATTCTTTTAAAGATTTTATTTATTTGACAGAGAGAGAGAGAGCCAGAAAGGGAACACAAGCAGGAGGAGTGGGAGAGGGAGAAGAGGGG